AACCGTATCGACTCAGACATACTTGTTTTGGTCACTTCTGTAACTTTCTGGTATTCAGATTTTCAAAATAACCTCAACTATTAGCTGGCTTGTATCATTTCTTTGCAAGGAATAAGTAACAAACTGACACTGCCTTTGTCTTGCAGGCTGCAAAAAGACGTAAATAAAAGAAACCCCACTGTACTCTTCATAAATGGCAAAAAAAGGTATCCATTAAACAAACCAGAATTTACACCTGAAGACACTTCAGTTCCCCTGGCAGGCTGTAATTGTTTACTTAATCTGGATATCGATTGTAGTTAGACTGCTGGCTCACTTCTTTCAGCTGCAATTTTCATTTTGGCAGTCTCACATACATGCTTTAAAATTCCTCTCTGTGGCTGCATTGCTTGCATTCTTTCCTCTAGGTCACAAACCACCACCCAGAACTATACTTTCCCCTCTGCATTAATAGTTTTTTACATTTTCCAATCTTTGTAGAACAAAAAGGGACATACTTTACCAAGAACGACCCTGAGACACTGCCCTTTACAATAATACAGCGCCCAGGATTTAGCAGTCCAAGCACAGGCAAGTAGTGCCTATAGAAGGCTGAGAAGCTTCCCCGGCTGCAGCAGCAGGGTGCATCGCCACGGGTGCCAGCACACCTCAGGGCCCCTGGCAGCAGCTGGTGGCTGCACTGCCACCCAGCTCCTGGCTGACGGTGCCAGACGGTGAGATTCTCCACCTATTTCTAGCCAAAAAGACTCCTGCAGCAGATTGCCAGCATTCCGTCAGGCCTATTGGCCCCGTGACACAACGCCCAGATCAATTTGCTCAGCCCATTTCCACTCCAGGAGATTCTTGCCACAGATCACACAGGCTTGCAGAGCATGTGGACTGCACTGCAACAGCTCAGATATTTCATTCTTCAACTTCAGTTACAAGCAGACATCTGTAAATGCGTAACATTCCTATCAGTTGCTGTCATTTCTTTCCAGTTATTTAGCAGACAGGACCACACCTGGTCATAAACAGGCAAAACAGAGGCCCAGTGTTAATCTTCTTCCTTCTACCGAAAGTTCAGAGCTCCCAAACTCGACATGAGGAAAAGTAAGATAAGAACTTCAACACATTTATCAAATTAATCTGATAAACCTTCATAGGTATGTTAAGTATTAATGTATTTCTTGGATACTTTCAGACTCAGAGGCACTCTAATATTTCACGCCACAAAATATAGATTGCTAAACACACTATTCATCAAAAATGAGAAGAACAGCAATTATTTGGAAAAATGAAACTATTCCTTCAACAGAAGAGATAATGCTACATCAGAACAGACCGACTCTGACAGCAGTTCAAAGTATTACCAAAAAAATCAATGCTTTCACATCCAATGAAGCTCAGCAACTGTTTTTAGATGTGGTAAAAAATTACAAAACCCAATAATGCTTTACCTGGAATATTTTCATGTCTAAACTTTGGCAGAGTCACATAACTTAAAAGGATAGCAAGTCTCTAGGTATCGATTAGGGCTGTGCACATCTACAATGTCATAAAACTGATCTGCAAATATAAAGAAAGATAATGTGATTATGAGAATGCTACATTGCAATTTCCTTTGGGTAGTCAGAAAACAAAGACCATCTGATGGTCCCTGAAATAAACAAGGCTGGCATTCACCCACCAACAGAAGCATTTTACAATTTGTCAATAAAAGCACCTCCTATTCTTAGCATAGTAGCAACAACAAGAAGGCAATAGAAGAGCAAGAGTTACCTTTCAGCCACAGCACAGCATGCAGCTGGAAAGCAAAGCCACTCATATCTTACTCGAGAGCTTTAACTCCCTGACTCTGCCACCAGTTCAGGCGTGGCACACAAAGAGTTAACCTGATTTTGAGCCATTATACGGAGCTTACTGTAAAGCCTGCTCTAATAAAGAGTATGAGAGGAAGGTCAGCCCTTAATTCACCATCAAACTATCTTCTGGGTGTAAACATAATGACTTCTGCTTATACATTAGATAACCCTGACAAGAATTCTACTTGACAATGCATTTTAGATCTGGAAAACTGTGCTCGTTTATGCCAAGGTGTTGGATGTCAGCAGATATACTAATATGCTTATTATTTGCACTTCAGTGGTGGAACAGTGTAAAACACCGTGAGCCCTCCGCACCCCCCACTGCCTGGCTAGGGAGGACAGGAAATCAAACAGGATTTAATCCCGTCCATATCACTGTGCATTTGGTGAAACTCGACAAGTCAACATTAAGCATTCAAAGTGGTATTGTGCCCTAAAGGGATCACATGCAGCCTGCACATGAGAGCAAAGGAACGGCTCGGTTCTGCTTCGGTGTTTGTAAATTCAATTTGTTCAAGAAAGAGCAACTCTGGAAGGGATTACTAGCGAGGATCAACACTCTTAGCAAGGAAAAAGGGGAAATGCAAGCAATGCAACACTGACAATTTTGTAATACAAAACAGCTTTTCAGGCTTAACTGTATAAATAAAAGTTGGAGGCAAATGCGGCTCAGCCCCTGCACATGTGAGTGCTGCACCCAGCGTTCCCCAGTAGGAGGGCCTGGAACATTTCACAGAAGCTCACAACAACTGAACAGTTACTTAGAAAACACCACATTTTACAATGCAGTAACATTTCCTTGCCAAAATATTGCTGAGCATGGTCTCAGTGCAACAGCTAGTGGGGCAGTAACATTCATGCATGAAGACTTCTGACAAAGTGATCTTTATTACCAAGACCTAACCCAGGGAAGAATATTTGTGGTTACATGTGCACATCCCAGGCACACAAAGAAACCCAAGATCTACAGCAACAGACTTTTGAAATAGCGCAAGAGAAACCTGTGAATAGCCTCTGCTGAGTGTAGCTCTGTGTTTGTGCTGCCACAGTATCTCAGATAGTCAGCTGTTTACAGTTGTCTCTGCTCCTATGCCAGAAAATTGGTGACAAATTCCGGAGTCTGTAAAGAGCTCTGTCTACTAAATCCTGTAGGGCTAAGAAGTGCTGGTAGCTGGGCTTTGTCAGGGAAGGGAGGATGCCCTGAAGCCTCAGCTGGGTTCCCTGTGCCCTCCCATTGTTAGGCACAGCTGGGGTAGGCATGGGGCAGGTGCTGGTGAGGGCAGGAAAGTTTCCTGCTGTGTTCCAGCACAGCTTCTGGTGATGACTGAAATTTTAAGGGACTCTTAGGTGCAGTACCCATTTTCCCAGAGCAAAGGACAATGAATACCTTTTTTACACAGACTGGTACCTCAAATACAAAGCACAGAAAGCAAAGCACTGCCACTGAGCAATCTAAAAATACATCTTGTTAAGCTTGATTAATGAGATAATAAAAAACTATTAAAAAAAATCCAATTAAAGTATATTCTGAGATTTCTCTCCAACAGAAATAAAGAACCCAAGAGAATGGTAAAACTTTGAAAAATTAGCATGACAGAGATGACAGCCTTAGTATTCAGGACTGCAGTAGATCAGTTTTATACCTTTTTTGACTGCTGTCCCTTATTTATCATCCCTAACGCGTGCCGTCTGCATTTCTAGTCCTTGCTAAGTTTCCTTTTATTCCGTTACTGCCTCGCGAGTATAACACCTGAATTTAAATACAAACACATAAAAAAACGTGGCATTTTACAGGCTGCGGGTGCTTCATTCGGAAACACGGCATGTCTCTGGCACTTAAAAACAGAGGAATAAAAACAAACCCAGAGAGGGCACAACGCTCATCCATCACCTCTGCGGAACAGCAGTCAGAAGACTGCCCCCCCTTACTGCCGACGTACGAAGAGCCGATTAGAAAGGGAAGTAACCTCGCGATACCGGTTTCCAATCAGCAGCTGGTACGCGAGGGCAGCCGCAGGCCGGGAAGGAGCAGCACGGACTGCAGGAGCCGGGCGGGCAGGCGGTGGCAGCGCGGCCGCACGGCGCGGAGCCGGGCGGGGCACAGCTGTAGCTCCCCCTGGTGGCGGCCGACGCGCAGCGCAGGGCAGCGCCTCTGTTTTTTTCCCCTTCAAACATCAAGGTGTCTTACTATACATTGAATACATACGCGTACCCTCTTTCTCCTTAATACGGTTGAGTGAATATTCTGTGTTCATTTTTCTTCTCTTTAAATCTGTGGCTCAAGACTCCATTAAGATGCACGACATGAATGTCCGCACCAACTGCTCGGGGCATTGCACAAATGAGTGGTTGTTGAAAGACCTTCATCTGATTATAGGTTTTGCCCTTTCTAATTTGACAGATTGGGAACCACGGAGCAGTACACTGTACAGCCTGCCTGCTGGAGGACCTGCAAAGGAATTCACAGCAGAGCTCCCCCTCTTTGGGCTGAGCCCACGCTCCTTTTCATGTGACATTGTGCTAACGTGTCTAAGTAGACGCCAAAGTCACCTCCAATTCTGACATCAGGTTGAGGGGCGGACCCCAGACCGGCCACCAACAGAAGGGTGACACAGAGCACGTGAGGGTCCAGGAGTAAGTTCTGCTTTCCGGCAGGGCTTGCAACAGTGAGACGGAGCCGGAGCAGGGGAACAAAACCCGGGCACACAGTCCGTGCTGAGACACTCCGTGAGACTTCCCAGGAAACAAACCGGTAACTGCTTCTTCTAAGCTCAACACGGGACTCACCATTTTGCAGAGACCACCGCTTTCACCAGCACCCCCGGTGAGCGGCTACCAGCCGGTGGCCCCGAGACCCCAGTGATCTCAGAGGGACCCGCTCAGACGCAGCCGTCACCCAGCACCTCCACGAAACCACGTACGGGCGTTTTGAGCGGCGACCTCTCCCGCCCCGCAAGCAGCCCCGCGTTCCAACCCACTCCGCAGGGACGCTCCGTCACCGCCCGCCCGCGGCACGCGCTCCGCCCCGGCCCCGCCGCATCCCGCCCCGTCCCGGCTGCCGGGCCCTCCCGCCGCCGCCTCTTCCACTCCTGCGCACTGGGCGCGTCCCGGGGCTGCCGGGGGCCGGGCCGGGGGCGGCGGAGCGGCGGGCGGCCGATTGCGGCGCCCCGGGGAGCGGCTCCGGCGGGGCCGCCGCCCGCGCTCGCGGGAAGGATGGAAGCGGAGGACCGGACGCCGGAGCCGACGCTGTTCCCCGCCGGCGGGGAAAGGTTGGAGCCCCTCGAGGATGCTCCCGGTACGGCCCGGACGCCGCTGCTCACCGCCTCCGCCGAGGTGCTGGAGTTCGACGACGATGAGGACGACCTGGAGGTGTTCAGCAAGGTACGGCCGTGCCCAGCCGCGCTCTCCCCGCAGCCGGGGCGGGTGCGCGTGGCAGCGCCGGGACCGAGCGGGACGGGGGCGGCTGAGGAACCCCCGCTGCCGACGGGACGGGACGGGATGGGATGGGATGGGACGGGACGGGCGGGGCGGGCTCGCGCTCGCGCTCGGTCTCGCCTGCGTGGAACCGCTCTGCAGCCCTCGGCCGGGAATGCCTGAAGCGTGGCGGCCCGGCACGGCGCGGGGCAGCGCCTGCTCTGCGCGTGCAGACAATGCAGCGGCTCGGCGGGACGCTGCCGGGCGCTCCGCCGCGCTTCGGGGCTGCGCCGTCCCCGCGCCCCTTGGCGCACTGGCCGCACGGCGGGAGGCCGGAGCGGGCAGCTTCTGCTTAGGCGTCTTCTGCGAATTCCGAACTGCTGCGTGCCAGGATGTGCGACGGGGAGAGAAACTGCGAGTGTTTTTCCTGTTTGAAAATGCGATATCCCGCTTCTTCATTGGAACCAATTGTTATTGGAATTAAAGATATATCTCCTATATTTCTATGGAAAAGAAGCAATTTTTTTTTTTTTTTTTTTGTAGATGTGAATAAAAACCATTGGAATAAGAGTTGATTCTTGGGAGCTATTTAAACTGACTGCAGTAAAAATCCTGAAATGGATGGATTTTAAAGCCAAGGGGACTGTTAGGTGATTTAATGGTCTGTAATGGGAAAAAGGTCAGGCTAAATCTTACCAAGTTATCTGTGCTTTTCTGAAGCCTAACTAGAGTTAGCTAAATCACATTCGCTGAACTTGAGCACAAAACCAGTGCTCAGTAGTGTTAGCTGTTTCTCACCTGGAATCCTTTTCCTTTTGCCAGGCAGGCACAAGCCTGGGCAGCTCTGCGTGCAGTTTATCAATGCCTGTTAATACAACACACTGACATGCTTGCTTGTCAAGCGTGATGTTCCTGGAGAACAGAAAACAAAACAAGTGCTGGTTATATGAATTACTTCTGCTCTCTGACAAACATCTGTATCCTTAAATATCTTCCATAGATTCATGCAAAATATTTCCTGCTTTTAGTAAATCTTAACAATTCTTACTGCATGCAGAATGATAACCTTTCTCTGCAGACAAGAATATGCCATGTACAAGTCTTGGGCTCCTGTTTTTGTGGTTGTGTATCAACCAGAAATTCACAGTTTGCTTTCAGCTTCAATTTGAGGGCTGATCTTTCAAGATGATGAAAATCTGTGGAGGTGATTTGGGATCACAGCCTGTTTGCGTGCATCCGTTATATGAAAGGGACTCTGGCAGGCTAAATGTAGTTTCAGACCGATTTTTGTAAAACTCATTTGTCCATAACATACTGTTCTGAGACCTCCTCATGTTTAATTCACACTGCTGTCCTTAAGGCAGTGGTGCAATGTGGGCAGGCTGAACTCTGCTCTGGGATGCAGAGGCAGTGCAGTGCTCAGTGCCTGGTGCTGCATCAACTTCATTTTTCTAAGTTCAGTCAGTGGAACGGATCAACTATCTCAATGATGAAAAATGAGGTTCTTAAAAAGTTGTCAGCCTCAATACCTTCAGTTATTACTCAAGGTGTAGTCGCCAAGTTTTTATTGTATGAAAATTCATAGATATTTGACCTGGCAGTGTCATAACCACTGAGCCAGCATCCTGTGACATATCTCAAATATTACAGACTGGCTTCTTAACTCGCCAGTTCTGATAAACCATTTTCTGATGTAACCTGCATTTCACTTTATCCGAGTTTCCGTCACCATGGAGAAAGTTCTGAGGTCATTTTAGCAGAGACAACTTCTCAAGGTTGAATCATGAGTCACACCACAACCTGCTTTCTTTCATGAGTGTCACAGTACCGTGTGTGTTGCAATACTCACCCTGGTAGTCCTCTTGTTCCTTGTTCCTGGTGCCCTGGCATGGCATTGACAGATCTGGTTTGGTTAATGCTTAAAATATTAAGGAGCCCCTTCAAAACTCTGTTTTAGAGTTGGTTCTCTTCCATAATTACAACAAGTGGATCAGGGATTTGAGCCTGATTTAAAAGTTGAGTGTTCAGCCAAGGAGCTATCCTGTCTTCCTGAATTTCTCTCCTTCTTTGAAGAATGTTCCAGCAACTGAGCTGTTCTCCTAACAAGACACCCTGCCATCATGTCCTCTGATTCCAGACCTGCAATGGATCCCTGGCCTCACATGCATGCTCTCTCTTCTGCCTGATGGCGATAGCCTTGAGTCAAGTGTCCATGCTGGGTGGGAGCAGTGCTTTGGCAAACTCCAGGGCTTAATGTTTTCCCCAGCGAGATGCAGGCTGTGTGCTCAGCCCACCTTGAGGCTGCTCCCACTGCATAAGTGTTTCTATCCCGTATTAATTTTGGAGTCTCAGTGGCCAATTTCGGTCAAATGAAAAATTTTTAAAACCAAGAATGGGAAGATTTGCTTGTTTTCTCTCCTGCCACAAAATTCCTTCCACCCACAACAGATACACAAAAACATAGTTCCAACTTCAATGTCATAGCTGTATGGAAAAACAGAAAACTAGCTTTAATTTTTTTTTTACCGTGTTATTTCAAGAACTGCTGGCAGTAAGCCTGAAGTAAAGAAGAAACATGCCTTCTTAAAACTCACATGCACTCATTCGTGTGCAGATGTCACAATGGGCATAGTACAGTGAACCAGAAGACTTGCTTTTTTTTGCTGCTGTTTTGTTTCTCAAATCACACACTTGTGAGCCCTTGCATATAAAAACATGCTTTCCAGAACCTGCCTGTACAACTTTTAGTAACAACTGAGGAGGAAGAAAACATGAAGATACTGGTGACCTATAGGAAATTAGACACTATGAAACACATTTACCTTGATTAGGCTTTGCATTGTCATTATTCATCAATGGCCATTCAAGTCCCATGCAAGCTCACATGCATTTTTCTTTCCCTGGAAAATTCCTGTCTTCTCAGCACTTTGCTTCACACAAGCACATTTGGGAAACTGTGCTCATTCTCCACATAGAGCATGGGCAGCTGGTGCTGTAGAGAAAACACAGCTTTTGTGTTCATCCTCCACTGCTCTGGTCAGTGCTGACCACATACAGCATAGAAGTTGTGGGCTGGCACAGCCTGAGTAAAATATGCCAAGTAACTGACAGACGTACAATGAAGCTGCTATATAATATTAAAACCATCACCTTTAATCACAGAGTCATAGAAGAGGAGGTCTGGTATATTAATACTTTCAGGGCATAATTCCCAATATGATTTTCTACTCCATGTGTGAGAGTACACTGATAGATTTAAAAGGAGAGAGTTTGCAGTAGAAAATGAGGGTTAGAGCAGGAAAAGGGGGAAGAATATGTCCCAAAGATAGTTTTGGCCTGGTTGAAACCAAAGGAAAAATTCTTGCCAGCCTCAGTGACATCAGTCTTGTACTCTCCAGTCCCACATGTCAGTACACAGCTCTGGTTTGTGTGGACTCATACATTCCCACTTCTGACATCTTACAGTTTTCTCATCAGCAACATCTCGTTCCTGCATGCTCCATAGTCAGCAAGGCATTACGAAGGGCTATTTTTGCCACTGGGATTATCTTGCTTGCAGGAGAGCAGCCAGCCTGTGAACGGGTTGCCCAGAGCAGCTGCAGGTGCCCCATCCTTGGAGGTGCTCAAGGCCAGGCAAATGGGGCTTTGGGTAACCTGCTCTAGTGGGAGGGTTGGAACTGGGTCATCTTTAAGGCCCCTTCCAACCCAAACCATTCTATACTGCTTATTCATTGGCTTAGACAAGCAATTAGTTTTACTGCGTTGTAAAAGCAAGTGGAAAAGTAGCTCAAGCGAGCCTGAAACAAGCTGCCGATATGTTGCAGAGAATTAAGGATGCTTCTGCCTTGAGAAGCCCCCCAAAAAGAAGGCATCTTCCATTGCAGATGGCCAGTGAGGTGCCGTGTTGTGTGGGGTGAGCTCCTCAGCACCCCGCCAGCTGCCAGCAGGGGGACTGGGCCTGGAGCTGGTCAGCCTCCGGTGGCTCATCCACGTGCTGACCTCCTTCAGAAACCTTCAGCTTTTATCCAATTTCGCATATCAGCTTCTTAAATTTTGCAAAAGAGAAAGCGATTTTCATGCTCTGTAAACTTTAAGAAGCCATTTCCCACTAACTGGGCCCATTACACTATGACCTCTTTGCTTTAAAAGAAGTGTGTGCATTAAGCATGCTTCCTCAAGCAGTTTTACAGTTTATTTTTGCTACACGCACTTCTATTTTTTATTTATGTCGTGCAGATTTTTAGGAAACTTTCTGAAGCCACTGATGAATATTAAAGTTTGTTGTTCACTGAAATATTTCACTGCATTTGATACATTAGATAAGCTACATAAAATGTTTGATATTTCAAATATCGTGATTGTTTTAATTATCCTCATTATTTTTAAACATATTATTTATATTATGCTGTTTTCTGTAGTTACTAGATGTAATTTAATTAAGAAATTAAACAGCAGTTTTATACTACATGCATACCCATTAAAGATTAAATTCATGTCTCTGTAAAAGCTTTCTATTTCAAGTTCTATTTTAAAATATGTGCATGCTGAAATATCTGATTTCAGTAAAAACTCAAAATTGGATTTTGTCTTGGTCCTTTAAAGTCATAGTTTCTTATAGTACAGCTTACTAGAAATAACTGAAACGTTCTCGGTCCTGAAGTAATGCTGCAAACAATGTTAACAAAGCTGGTAATCAAACTGCACAAGTACTGGCTGCTTGTATTCGTAACTCATTTTAGCATCCACAGGCAAGTTCTGTTCTCTAGCTGTGCATAAATTTCTTGTCAGAAGGTACTGTTTTGCTTTGATCAGTTCTGGAATGAATCTCATTCCTTATATCCTCACTGAAGCAAATACTGAAGAGAATAATAGACTTGTCACAGATCATATTATTCTTTTGTCTGTCCTAAGTTTTATTTTAAAACTTACCATTTTGGCATCCAAGATATGTTTGATTGTGTATAAATATGGTTCAACATGGATGTTCTCATGTCCTGTCTGCAGGATACGTCACTGGCGAACTCATTCAGTCCTTCAATGCCAATATCCCCCTCGTCTATGATAAACCAGTATAAATTTGAAGATGAACCAGAATTAAAAGATCTCTTCATTACTGTTGATGACCCTGAAAGCCACATTACAGCCATTGAAACATTTATTACATACAGGGTAGTCACAAAGGTAAGCATCTGTTAGATGAGGATCAGGGTAAACCTCAGTGCCTCACGGAGGTAACAGCGATAGCATCTTCTGCCTTCTTGTGAACCATTCTCTAGGTTACTACCCAACTGAAACTGTGCTCTGAACTCTGCTATGAGTTATAGACCACTATAATCATATGGAACTGTGCAGTTGATTCTGAAAACAAAAAAATCAGTGTAAGTACATACACACATGTATATCAGCATGATTTTTTTATACTGAGAAAAGAGTTGCCTTGCCTGAAGCTCACCTGCTGCAGTCTTTCAGCTCCATTCTTCAGTAACTGTAGTGCCCACTGTCACCTGGAAGTTTGTTTCCAACCTGCAGTTGCATATCATTTCCCAAAATTCTCAAGTGAAAAAGTAATGCTAGCAAACAACATAGTGCATTTTTAGCTGTCCTGAATGCAAATTGTCTACTGGAAATAAGGAAGAAAGACAGCACTGTGAGACCAGCCAGCTCTTTTGGGATTACCAGCAAATATTCTGCAGGCTGTGTTTTGAGAATTACTGTGTTCGTTTATTTGACTTTGAGTTCTTTTCAAAAGATACATTTAAACAAATTTTCAAATGGGAATTATTCATCTTTAAATAGAGAAGTTACCAATTCCTCATAAAATATTTAAAGAGTAGGAAGAGAACTATCTTCATTAGGTTGTGAGCAATAATTTTCACTTCATGCATCTTTTTGTAGATGAATGAACATCTTTTTCTGTAGGCAAATAAGGAAGGGCAGTAAGGTGGATTGCTTTTGCTTCTTTATCTCTTTCATCCTTCCTTATCATATTTAATTTGAAGTGCTGGTTGTTGATGATAAAGTAAAAGCATTCCTCCCACATACCTTGAGAAAAGTCTATTCAGTCCTTAAAAATGTTTAGGTTACAAGAGCGTGAGTGAGTTCTTTTGCCATGTGCTTGCATCAGACTGTAAATCTCTGTGCAACAACGAATGCTAAGCAGCTGCATCACTTTGCTGAACACCTGGGCTCTTTGTAGTTTGACTCCAGAATATGAAGCAGTGATAAAATCTTGCGGTTTGACGATTTTGCAATGCTGTAATAAGCGTTTTTTCTAAGTATTAAAGAGTTTGTTGGCGAGCTCTGACAAAGGGCTACAAAACTGCGATTGATGGATTGAAGAATCCATTAAACAGCACGGGCAGTGTGCTATGATATGCTGAAGTTTTCATGCGTTGAAAGCAGGGATTGTTGGATGGTGTCAGCAGACCTCAAGGACATATGTCAGCTCTTTCTGCGTTTTTCCAAAATGCTAAAAAATGGGCTTTCCTCGCTCTTCGATTTTTAACTCTTCAGAAGAGCCCTAAATGTAATGAACATAACTGTGATTGTTAAAAGGGAAACACCACACTAAAGTAATGATTGAAATCTTTTGGAAGCACTGTCAGACTGATTATTTGAAGTCAGTCTGTTGTGTTGTCTTTTTTTTTTTTAATAGAACTCTGATTTCTTGAAAAAATTATGTTTTATCTCCTAAAACAATTCATCATTGTGCTTTAAAATCTTCAAGCAAATAGCGTGGGCAAACTAGAATCATGTATGCAGTTTTATTCAAAATGTAAAATGATATTGTGCTTTTTAGCCACTATTCTAACTTCCTGGACCTGTGTTTTCTGTTCATTGTTTTCAGACATCTCGTGGTGAATTTGACTCCTGTGAATATGAGGTCCGACGACGATATCAGGATTTTCTGTGGTTGAAGAGCAAACTCGAAGAAGCACATCCAACACTAATTATTCCTGTTCGTTTGCTAAAACTTACACTATTTTTATTAATTTGTGTTCTGGTCCCAGCTTTATACAAAGATGCTTGAGGTCTTTCTGGGGTTTCTAAAATCTGACAAACATTAAAATAACATTTTCGTTAGTAGCTTTATATGCGTGTGTATGTGATAATTAAAAATTCTGCAAGGGTACTTCTTATGTTTGTCTTTGAAACAATTTGGTTTTTACCTGGTGGATTTTACAAGGTCATAGCTATGTTTTCAGCAAGTAGAAAAGCTATTATAATATCTTTGGTACTATGCAAGTTATACAGTATGTTTGTTTCTTTCTTTCCTTAGCCATTGCCGGAAAAATTTGTGATGAAAGGAATGGTGGAACGATTTAGTGATGAATTCATTGAGACTCGAAGAAAAGCTCTTCATAAATTTTTGAACCGTATTGCTGATCACCCAACCTTAACTTTTAACGAAGACTTCAAAATTTTTCTTACTGCACAGGCCTGGGTAAAATGGCTTTATTTTTATCTACAGTTACATGGAACCACATGGTGTGTCAGTAATGGTGTGTGAGGAGCCTCCCTAGATCAGTACTCAACAGCATCCTCTGATGGCTTGTTACAGAAGGGTCACAAGAAGATGTGGAATTTCTGGAATATTCTTTCCCCAGGAAAGCCTTTTCTTCTGTGCATTTAGCTATCTTGTGTGCGGCCATAATTATTACTGTATCTTCCACAGCAGTTTTTGTTGCTGTGTTTGAATTTCTGTGACAAATACACAATACTATATGATGTATGTGAAGATCCGAGTTTTGTATTCAGAGCCATCCTCTGAACTTTAGGTTATTCTATCAAGATGTAAAAATAGTTCCAAAAAGTAGCTGAATTACTTCTTCCTGTAGGAACCTTGTTTGCTTTTCCCAATGCAATCTTTACCTCTGTTTTCCTGTTCTAGAGGCTAAATTGCAAAGTAGTCAACTCACTGTACGGAACAAAAGGGTAAAGGTTTTCTGCCATCCTTGGTCATTCTTTGTAAGAGCACAATGCACGGTATCTTTATGTCTGTTCAGAAAGTCTTAGAGTAAGATTTTGCCTCTAAAAAGACATCTGAATTGTCTTTTTTTCCATTGAAGTGTATGCAGTTTTTGTTTAAAAACAAACAGACAGAAAGTTTTAAGTCACATGTTATTATTTCTAAAGAATTTGAATATGTATGTGCAAATAAACACAGTACATTCTGGTTTTAGGAACTCTCCTCGCACAAGAAGCAGGGTCCAGGTTTGCTGAGCAGAATGGGACAGACCGTAAGAGCTGTAGCATCCTCAGTAAGAGGAGGAGTTAAAAATCGTCCTGAAATGTTTACAGAAATGAATGATTATATGGAAACATTTAGTCACAAAATAAACGTACTGGACAAAATAGCTCATAGAATTTACAAGGAAGAAAGGGGTAAGTAGAAAACAAATATATATTTTAATGGGTTTAAGAAATTGATATATTGATAAATGACTTGCTGTAAACAGTAAATTTGTTTTCATTGTGCCAAGCAAAATAGTTATTTCCAGCAAAAGGGAGATTTGTATTTGTACCATGTTTTCAAGTAAACTTGTGCAACTTGGTAATAGGGAGGGTTTTAACACATCATTGACCTGCTTGAAAAGGAACTTAAAAATAAGAAACATAACAAGTATGGCTATCTTTTTATTGTGCTTATTGGAGAGCTGTGTGACATTTTGTATTTCGAATGGAATGTAAAGAATCAGTTTTCTGTGCTGTGTCATACTGTTATAATGCTTACAGTGCTGTGTAGATTCTGGAACTCTATATGTGTCTCTTTTAGTTTCATTCTGCATTCTTTTTTTTTCACATATTGGCCAAGTAGATTATTTTTTAATTTCAAGAGCTTTACTTTTGGCAGTAGTTTCTGTCATGGGAAACTGTGTCTGTTTAGAGTTTTAGAGAGAAGGATTACTTAAGCTCATGTTTTTCCTTAAATAACAGCAGCCTGCACACCCGCCTGCAACTCTAAATTATTAATTTTCTGAGCTTAACACTGATCTCAGTCTAGGTCTGTTGATTACTGCTGATTCTACTGGTCAGCACTTAAGGAACGTTACTCTGCATATAGTAGAAGTTGAAGTGCTACACTGTTCTCTAATAACTGAGACTCTGTGCTTTAGTGTGCAGAGCCAGATCTCAGCACATCCTTGCCAAGTTAGAGGGGTCTTAATAAATGAAAATACATCTTGCTGAAAAACGTTCTTTTTGATACGGCTCATTCCAGTGGAACTAGCTGGCCGAGGTCTTTAGATTCTAGTCATCAGCACCAAAATATTTCTTGGAAAACCTTATGAATTTTGACGTGATCCCAAAAGCTTAATAAATCTTCTTTCTTGATTTTCCAAATAGCAAAAGGCAGAACACCAGTGTGGAGGGTGCACTGATGAGGTTGTGAGAATGTTCCTGCTTGTAGTGTCTTAACATGTGATTTTCAGGTCCATCTTGCATGGATGCTTTTTTGTTGAAATGCTTTCATAGTAGATGTTGGATTCTTCACAGCACACGGCTTGTTTTGGACATTTCTTCATTATAAATTCAATTGTGTTAAAATTATGCTTTCAATACATCCTGCTTTCAGGTCATATTCAGGCTTGCCCGAGTTAAGTACTGTCAAACCTCTCAGTGACTTCTGGGCCTTACACAAATTATCACTTGATATAGAGACACAAGGGAAGCAATTCTTGTGGTATCCATCTATTTAGATTAATAAAAACTTCTTAAGGAGATATCAAATACAGAACTGGAATGAACTTCCTTGAGTTGTCTGCACCTTTTGGGACTTTAAAATAAAGCTGCTGGTTCCTTGCTGTGTTCACACTAAATAAGAGGTTGCAGTTAGTATCACTTAGACATCTGTTAGTAAACAAAAGACTAATCTGTTTGTATGTCCCTGTTAAGAGTATTTTAATGAGATGAAGGAGTATGGCCCCATCCACACGCTCTGGTCAGCATCAGAAGAAGATATAGCAGACTCCCTAAAAGGCGTCGCCAGCTGCATTGACAAATGTTGCAAAGCTACAGAGAAACGAATGGCCGGGCTCTCTGAAAATCTCCTACCAATCATACATGAGTATGTTCTCTACAGTGAAATTCTGATGGTAAGGTTTCTTTAAGGATTGCTTTTGGCAGTACGTGAAGTTTGTCTAAGGCCATTGACAGATTCTGAAAGCAAGTCCGTAGCTGATGAAAAATATTTTGTGGCCACTGTTCTGCTGTTAGTAAATGTGCACAGCAATGGGATAGCTGGTCTGTTAGCAGAGAATCTGGTTTGTCCTGTTTCCCTGATTAAAAATCAGGCCACAGGCACCCATTTCAGACAAGAACTGCTTAGTAGTTTGTGTGGCAGGGAGCCTGTGGTAGCAGTACAAAAGTTTGGTTTTAGAGCTGTGTGTGGTAGGGCTGGAGCACAGAAAGGTTCAAGGAAAAGCAGCTTAGAAAGACCTCTTCTGACACTGCTGAAATGTGCAGTAACAGATTGTGTGGGGGAGAAGGAGTGGAGAGGTTTCTCCTTTTCTAGGAGATGTTCCTAAATTACTTCTTCTTTTTCTAGAACAGCAGGGAGCTTCCAGTCCCTGTGTCACAAGCCTGTTTTAGTCTCTGCCATAAGCTGATGCTTTCAGTTCCCTCCATGGATGTATTTTTCTTACACTTGGAGAGAATATAAAAAATCTGTCCTGATTGATAATCAACGTAATTCCAAAACTGATTTCAGCATGTCATAATTCCCACTCTTCTGCCTTCAGAAAGCAAAAAATGTCTACAAACGCATCTCTGTGGGATTTGCCATCCCAAGGCAAGCTACAGTATCTGTTTTTGTGTCTCTGCTAGGAACCCAGCTCATAGGGCAGCAGGAGCTGAGTGTGCTACAGGCCATGCATACAGCAAGGCCCAAGATAACTCAGCCAGCAAACTCCTTTACTGGCACTGGGCAGAACATTGTCCATTTTTCGATAGGTTTAGCTTCTGAAAGTTAGAAACCAGTGCAGCAGTGACTAGTTTCACTGAAAGAGGGACCATACAAAATGTCCCGTATCTCACAGGCTATATTACTTAAATGTACATGCAGGTAGGTCAAGATAGGTATTAATGTACTTAAAAGCATGAAGAGATGAATATCTTAGCACATAGCAAATTGCAGTATTTCCTCCTTCAATTCTTATTTTTCAGAACTTCTAAGTCTGTTACCTGGGATCCTTTCCATCCCTCATGTTATTAAAGACATGCTATCTACAGCTTTGCTCACCTTTGTACAGGTCCTCCCTTTTGTGCCTAGCAGGGAGATTTCTCTGTACAAATCACAGAATGACACCCTGGCTCTTAATGCACAAAGTGGCAAGTTTCTACTGCTCGTTGCTAATTTTGTTGTGTTTATTTTCTTTTTATTTCTGGTTGCAACATCCAACTGCTTGCAACGCGGTGTTAAGTTGCCAGAGGATTAATGAGGAAAGTCTTGCTCCTCTAGCTCATTCCTGTTCAACCACTGCTCTTTGCCTTTCATTCACCATGGATTTCTTTTTCCTATAACTTACTTGCCTCTCACAGTTTGGAGAGGAGACTGCTCAAAAATATATATATATGATAGGGGAAGTCGCACACTAATAAAACCTGGGGTGTGTTTAACCCCTCATTGCAGGCACCTTTATGTGCTGCTGCACTAACATAATTGGCGTATGTACAGAAGGTGTGATCAGTACAATGGATTAGACTTTGTATGTTCCAGTGCTGTGAGTTCAGCCGAAAACTGAGGGCAGAGATGAATTTGTAGCTAAATATTTACATCGAGACAGGCTCCTTTCTAGCTGACTAAAGCAGAGGCAGAGCAAATCTGGAGAGCGTAGCACTGTCCCGCTGAGCTTCAGCATACAGATTGCAGCAGTAAGTTAGCTATGGGTCCACATGCAATTATTTGAGGATTTTGTGTCAGAATAGCATTAATTATACAAAATATTATAAAAATATAACAATATGTTTGTAAAACACAGTCCCTCTATTTGCAATTGGAAGTCAGCACTTGCCTATGGTTGTAACATACCAATGTTAAAATCATTGGGTTTTATCTTATAATTTAAGGAGTATTTGTGGTAAAATTCAGCATATAATCAAAACAATAGTTTTTTAAAAAGGCAAAAGAAATACAAAAAAAGAAAAGAGAAAAAGAAAAAGAAAGCATTTGTAACATATTGGACAGCTCTTCCAGACCTATTTATTTTGCTTCTGTGCTTACAGCTATACATTTTCTATATTTATCTAAACAAAAGATTTTCTGAGCTACTGAAAGGTAGATTTATGTGAGTACTTACTGCCAGTGTATCACTCAGAGCTGTCCAAAGTCAGGTGTACCAGGCTGTTCTAGTGAGTGTCTGTTCTAGAAGAAACACTGAAAAATTATTTGAAAATTCAGCTCCTATTTTTTTTTTCTTCAATTTTTTGTGTCGTTTGTGTTGAACTGAGAAGATATCAGAGAGAGCACAGTCAAACAAGACAGCTAGAGAAAGTAGACCTGCTTGGGTCCTCTGCTGGTTCAACTGGAAGTAAAATCAGTTGCAGCAAAGTAGTGTAAGAGGAGGTATCTTAGATTTGTAATTATATTTGTCCTTCATTTGATTATTTCTTTAAAAGAACTAATGCCTTCTGTGTGTTAATCACACCTGAGTGTACTTCTGCAGATGTGGAAACTCGGGTAAGGAGAAATGTTCAAGACTTGCTCAAGGTCACAGAGGAAATGAACATCAGAAATTAAAATTTAATCTGTAATACCTTTCCTAACAACAAGTAACATTTCCTTCCCTTTCTATTTTGACATTATGCTAAAAAATTCAATACCTGTAAGGCAGGTTTAGAGGAGGAAATAATTTCACACACTGGAAATAAGCACATATATCAAAGTTACTACAGCTATCTGATTTTACTCAACTAGAGTTCAGTACTCAAATAACTCAGACAGCATACTTCTGGACACTGGGTTGCACAAACTCATGTTGCTTTTTCAAAATGAATACATTGTAGGCTGTGTTGATATGAAGTTAATTGCTACTGCTGGTTTCTTCATCCACTTAGCAGTGATACTTATATGGCAGATTCCTGGACTTTGGACTCACTAAGACTCTTAAAAAAAACATGTAAGATAAAAAGTAGATATTGAAAAATAAGTATTCACTACATGATTTTGAATTGCTTTTTAGGAAAGTACTTGTATCATGCCAAAGTTTTTGAATCGTGTCTTCTTTAATTTATGTTGTTGTGTGGTTTTCTGAATATATATACTTTGTTTTTCTTCTTTTTGTATTTATTTATTTATTTTTATATTAAGGGTGTTTTGAAAAGGAGAGACCAAATTCAAAGCGAGCTTGATTCCAAAGTTGATGCTTTAGCCAATAAAAAGGCAGACAAGGATCTGGTGAGTATGTCTTTGTACAGAATGCTGAAATATTCCAGGCCTTACTCTAATTGCAGAACAATGCATGTCCTGTGAAGCCACACACTGTAACTGTATGGTGTCTCTGTGTCCTGTACTTCCTCTGGGAAACCATGGGACTTTGCAGCTACACATGCCAGGCAAAGCCAACCTTGAGAAAAAAGCAAAACTTCAGTGGATAGGCAGCTACAGCAAAGGACTGGGAATAGTGGGCGTTCATGGAGCGTGTGTTGTCAATGCAGGTGGCACAGCAGCTTATTTTTAGCATTCTTCCACACTGAGAATTAAAGTAAGACTTGCCGCAGTGCTCTTGTAGCTGCTGCTCTGCTGACGTAAGAGAGGAATAGGAGGTAGAAAGAGCAAAGCCATTCATGAGACATATTTAAAATGAAAATTTTTGGATCCTGTTCTTTCAGGATTGGTTATTTTTTAGGATTTTTTCTACTAGCTCACACCTTCATTCTAATGCAGTCATACCTATAGCAATGGACTTGAGCATCCTCAAAGCCATCACCAAAGCTCAGCAGGATGAGTTTGCACAGCCTCCATAGCTCGCCTTCCTGCCGCTGCCACCAGCTTGCCTCTGGTCTTGGTCAGTGCGTGTGCAATGCAGCACAATGCAGTGCTGGTCTTGAGATGGTTTCCCACGCTGCTCTGCTACCACCTGTGCACATTACAGATTCAATGAAGAACAGAACTGGCATTTTGAAAACTTTATTTTTTAGCTCTAATGCCTAAATAATGTGCACAGTTAGCACCAAGTATCATACAGTGTAGATAATATATAAAAATGACTAGATGACTAGTGATTATTCACTGCAGTTTTTTAGTAAATTGAAGAAGGTCCTTGACATTTCAGATATTTTTTATTAGTTGCTGCAATTAGCTTTCATGTAAAGATGAGCCATTTAGATATCTTTTGGCAGTTGAGGTGTGTATTTTCATTTGATTTCCTGTCAATTAACAGAATAAGTAGGAATATATTATTGCTATCTGATATCTGTGATGTCTGCACTGTATTTCATAATAATTTGCCTCTGTATAATGCAACAGCCAGCAAAAACTTACGTTTTTTTCCTGAAGCAGAAATTATTTGCTTACACTGTCCTTTTATTTTACTGCCTTTCTGCTCTTTTATCTGTTTTGTTTCTCTACTTCTCCTGCTGCTTCTCCTGTCCTTAGTCTGGGACACAGTCTGCAGCAGGCTGGGAGCTGGGCAGCAAGGATGGATCTTGGTGCTCTGCTGCCTGTGGTTGCCAGCAAAACCAGCAGATTGCCATGCTGCCCTTTGAGGGCACAGGCTGACCCACTGCCCGCTGCCCGCTCCCCACCTGGCCACCATGTTCTCAGCTCCCTGGCATGGTGTCCCCACCAGCTGGCAGCCGTGACCCCGGGCTGGCTGCCTCCCAGCTGTCCTGCCTACCCTGGCGGGCAGAACACCAGCGCGAAAGGCTCAGTGGGTGCAGGCAAAACCTGTGAATCTGAAAGGTAGGGATGGTGGCAGCCTCTGAGCAACACAGAGAGTGGATGATGAAGGAGATCAGGGGCTTGTATGGTTTCCTTGGCCTGGGGTCATGGGGATGTGCAGGGGTATCACCACGTCTGGGAACCAGCTGGTAGGGCTCAGAGAGGTCACTGGCTGCCAGGAGAGCCACTTCTGCTTTTTGCTTCTACAGATTTATAGGGAAACTATAAACTACTCTTTGTAATAAATTAACAAGTTTCGTAACACTTCACATTTGTAGGAATCAGCAAAGACCATCTTCAAGCAAACCTTTACTTAATTATTTCTATTCTCAGTCTGTCTACAAAATATATGTATCTATGTACTGGCCAATTAATGGGTAAGTGAGGTCTCATGCTGCCTGTATCATGGATCAAGTCTCTTAGTTGCACTGCATGTGAAGATAGAGTACATATTAAGAACTTCATCTGGCCAGAAGGCGTGTTATAAGTCATTGCTCAAGTTATTTGTATGCAGTTAGTTAAACCAATTTTGCATCAATATTGCATCTCTTTTATCAGTACTTCCCATTTGTATCGTGTGTTGCTAAAAACACTTGCATTTGCACAGAGTGACTCAGTTCTGAAGTGCAGTTCATAAAGCTTGGTTAGCAGCTGGGACACTGCCTGGCAGGACATGGCCTTCTAAGAAAGCATTTCTGGTATAATCTGATGGAGTCCTCAGACAAGATGCTGGCACTTAGTTTTCTTCAGCTATTATAGACAAAAAGGAATAATTTTCCCTTTTGCATTGCATTGATTGTACCATTGATTTGATATTGACAACTTTGTGCTCCATAATGAGATGTTTGTCCTTGCTTCCACTGAACCTGGTCTTTTTTAACTGTTCCTGCATTCCCTTGGTACCACTGTGGTAAAAGCGTGTGGGTTGTGTGGTTACCCAGGTGTTCAGATCTTTGCTTTATCTTTCCAGCCTCTCTATTTCTTACTCATTTCAAAAAATGCTGAGATCTTGACTCTTCTTACAGTCTCATCAGAGCAGCAAAGCAGATATCTGTTAGTCTGATCATAAAATCCTGTCTTTTCTAATTGAGTGGCGGCTGCATCCTGCTGACTTTTTTCTTCATTGGAAGTGGAAGATTTTTTCCATTAATGGTAGCTTGGCCACAGAGAGTTTTGCACTGCTATTTTTTAACTGTTCAAGTAACTTCCAACTATTTTCTGAATCTGTTGTTTACTGTTTTTTAATTTTTATTACATGTTGACCTATTTTCCTGACACTTCTATCCAGACTGCTTTCAGAATGAGAGAGATTGGGAAAAAAGCCTGAAAACAGAGGTGCTGTTATTGGAATTGGTGTCAAATGCTGACTTTGGCTTTATTTGCACATTCCTGTTCTTAGACGTACCCTATGTAGCTTCTAATGATCTCGCAGACATCAGATTGAACTTGTCAGTGCAATCTGGTAGCCAGAAATTCTGCTGACAATGACTAGCAAGAACTCTAATCTTATTTGAAGTATATTTCTGCCATAGATAAGGAATCTCAGCCTGTCCTTAGGGCTGATAAAAGGCAGTGAGATGTTTAGCAATGGTCACAGCAAACATTAAATGATTTAGCAAGCAGGCACTTATACAGCAAGAGAGTTCAAAACATTCCCAAGGTCAGTGCAACTGACAGACTGGAATCACAGATTAAACCCTGTAAGACGTGAGGTTCATTGGCTAGGAATAAACATTTTCTTGAGACATGCTTCTCCTGCTGGGCTTTTAGGACAGGTACTTGTGATGCTTCTAAAAACCCCAAAATTATCCTCCCACATCAAAATGTAGGTGTTGGAGGTGGCCGTTATTCAAAGTATGGAAGGGCTGAAGATTTTGATTTTGGATGCAGCCTCCTGTCAGAGATTTTTGGGAGGGGTGTTTGAATGCCCTCCCACTCATCTTTCCTCCAGAGCTCTGGCTGTAAAGAGGCTACCATTTTGGCTTCACTGCTCCTATGCTCTGTTCTGAAGGAGTAACCAGTGCCTCCTTCAGTGTCTTGGGGCTATTTTACAGATTTGATACTGCTGTGAGTACTAATACTAATTCTGACAAAAGGTTGGTATAATCTGCTCTGACAGAACCTGACAGGTTTAAATGCCGACTTACGGATTCTGCTATTCAGGCTTGAAGTGAAGAAAAGAAATGCTAAATCTATCACATTCTGAATGTATGTTATGTTTTACTCCAGGCTGAGCAGGGTTAGTATGCCCAAGTGAAGGATTAATTCATGTAGTAGATACAAGGTCATGCTGTTTGGCATGTTGAGATACTATACAGTGTCACTTACCAGGTAATTTTGCTCTTGCTGCAAGTCCCTTTGGCTACAAGTCACCCTGTTCATGTCCAGTAGCACTCTGCCCTGGCAGGTCTGTCTTACTGCTTCTGTTCTGTGGTACAACATCTGGTGAGCACCGTGCTGTCCTCCTGCAGGAACCACTCAGCTGAAGAAGATAGTATGTATGTTTTTTTTCAGCTGTGAAAAAGTAGATGTTAAACCTTTCTAGTTGAGGTGAAGAAGTGTGGCATAACTCTGTCTTTAGACCCTAAGTTCAGCCCCCACCTTGATACACTGGCGGGCTTTAGAGGATGATGCTTAAACCACATATCCAGGCAGGGACGTAGAACAGTCTGCCTGCCCACATCACACTGTAGTTACACCATGGAAGAAATCTGTAGTTCCTAGAAAAGGCAAGACAAAAACAAACTGTAAAATAATGCCTTAAAGATACAAAGGTCAAGATAAAGGGAGGATGATGCTGCCAGGACTTTGAAGCCAGATTTCTTGAAGCATGTGGTCTAGCTCATTTCCATATAAGAATTTTTTTTTCTTGCGAAAGCAGAAAAAGTGATTCAGCTGCCTTTCTTACTTTAAATCATCTATAAATAGTCACTTTCAGTATTCTGTGTGCATTCATTTTTAGTGTTAGAAGGAAAGGCAATTGACTTGGGGCATGCCCAAGATACCTAATCCAGTTGCCTGTAATATCTTTAAAGGTAATTTCCCCATATTTAATCTTTGGATTAACCTTTTCATGCTGAATACACTCTCGCCCATAGTTTGATTACTGATCTAGCTGGATAATTGAACTTTGGCTTTTCGGTAAAGTAGAAATAATATTTTTTCATTTTCTTCTTAAATAGTGTCCAGTATTTCACGAATCTAGAAATGTGGCAAGGAAAGTCAGTGTAGAAATAAAGTCTAACTAAAAATGTTTATTCCTCTCTGTATCATGGAATGTGGGAAAAAAACATTTGGTTGAAATTTCTTTCATTTTTCCTAGCTACTCTGTTTTTGCCTAATTTGAGCATAAGGATTTTATTTTGTCAGACTCTGAGTTGGTTTTATGACTATATGAACTGTGAACAGGACTTCTGAGCATTGCATAGTGAAAATGTACACAAACAAGAGTTTCTTGGTTAAAACATATGTGTCTCATCTTCACAGCAGTCACACAAGCAATGTGTATGAGCTGTCATCTTCCCCTGATACCTCCAATTTTAAGGATTGGGCTCAGGTTCCATCCCTGTTCCAGACAGAGTCGCTTAGTTTGTTTCTGCTGTTTGCAGCACCTCCAGCTATGGCACTGGAGAGCTGCCCTCTGTGTATGGTTGGAGCTGAAGGCTGTGGACCACAGCTTTCCATGTCCTTTTCTGATGCTTGGTTTTCTTGCAATGTGTGAATAGCCTAAGCATCCCTGGAAGATCTTGTAGAAGACTTGGAAGTTCCTATCAATGAAAGCACCAGCTCTGTGGCACTTAGGAGGAGAACTATCCAACTTCACAGAGAAGTTGTATGATGAAAACACTTTCCCAAGAGTAAAAAGAATAAGAAGAAGATGTACAGTACCTGAGTTGCAATGGAAACAATATAAGGAGATCAGCTTTTTCTGCTTTATGATCTTTATAGGTGTTGTTTGTGCCTGACCTCCCTAGGTTTGCTTCAGGCAGATGCTGTGCAGTCCTAAGGCATTAATTCACACTGTAGCTGCAGATTTGTCTCATTCTGCAACAGGGTGCCAGCCAGCACTGACACAGCTGATTAGCAAATGACAATAGGTACAAAATTAGTGACAAGACTAGAAGATTCGCTAGAGAGAGGCCCTTTATCTATTTCTAATTCCCATTAGCTTGGAGTCACTTTGTGCATCTCCAGCAATTAGAGGCAAAATAATGACTAAAGGTTTTGATTCTGGATCTCTCAAACAGACCCTGCTTTGCTGAAATCCTCCATTTTAAGTTCTTTCTCTACTTCAGTATTTCTCGCTCCCTTGTAGGGTCACATCAGGGTTAGTTCCACACCAAAGGACTGCAAAGTGATGGGCAAGAAATCTGAGTATAATTTCTGCTGTCTTACTCCCCGTTCTGATTTCTCCTAAAGTCATCAAAAGTTCTGTCAGAATTTCCTCAGTCTTCTGGCCAAATCTCATTTGTAAAGTTGATTTTGCTCCAGTAAAGGCCTCAGTGTTTTCCTTTTTAGACGCATTACTGTTGGGTACCAACAAAGAGGTGCCAGAGTCTGTAACTTCCCAGTCAACAAAAGTATTTTCAGCAACATTTTAGTTCTTGTCTCAAATTTCTGCTATTAATATTTCAGAAATTGTACTGAGCTATTCATTAGGAATAAAATTTTAAATTATTTATCACCAGGAAATGATGTGCTAATTTTAATACCAACCTTGCTTCTGCAGTTCTGTTCACTTTACTGCACTACAGTCACTTGGTTTCTATCAATTTTAAAATGCTAACTCTACTGATTTTTATATTTTCATTTTTTATGTTTACAATTTGTATTTAGTTCTCAGAGGAGATTGGGAAACTTGAAGATAAAGTGGAATGTGCCAATAACGCTCTGAAAGCAGACTGGGACAGGTGGAAGCAAAACATGCAGTACGATATGAGATCAGCGTTCACTAATGTGGCTGACAATAATCTCCGTTATTATGAAGAGGTAAAACCCTTTCTCATGGCAGTAGTTATTATTGACTGATTATTTTAGCAGAGAAATCATTGCATTTTATCTAAAGAATAAATGTTGCATTTTAGTTTAAACTTGTGTTCACTTCAGAATCAGTTTTTGTGGGAAGAAGGAGGCAGATTCCTTAACTTGAATTGTTTTAAGCAAAACGTATTTTATTTGTGCCCAAGTGGTTGATCCTGAGTTCATCAACAACAGAGGGCAGTCTTGTTTTACTAACCACAAGAATTTGGGAGATATTTTTGGGTTGAATGTCAGCTGCTATATTTCAGCTTAGAAGCCTTTTGCAGTGACTGTGTGAAGAAGCCCTCTGGAAGGCTCCACGTTTGTAAATTACTTTATATGCAAAAAACATTTAAATGTGGTTCCTTTTAAAACAGCACACTCACACAGTTCTCATTGTTATTTCTCTGAGGAATGTGAACCAATCAGACTTTACTATAATAACAGCAATACAAGTTTGAGAAGTCTATGAAAAGCTCATGGCACATTTTTCAAAATGCACAAATTGATACAGTTATTAAATCAAATCTTTTTATAACTGACTACTTTGGAAAGAAAGCAAAATGGTTGAAATACAATTTTAATTTCAATTCAAATGGCATAGCTATTACTCCTGGTAAAAATTCCAAGTAAGATATTCTAACCAACAGAACTTGAATATATGTAACAAAATCTCTTAAGCATTCTGTGAAGTTTCTTCAGAGGCAACGTGTTGCTTATGTTGTGCTTGTTTTGAAAGTATCCCAGTCTCTTGATTTTTTTTTCAGGCTCTCCTGTAGTAAAGCAGTTGCCCATCTACTAATCAAAAACCAGTATTTTTCACAGATATATGTTGATATCTGTGTCTTCCAGTCCCACGTTCCAATCTTTTTATGGGTTGTCCATTAGCCTCAATGTAAAATCACTGTCCTGGTTTTACAAATCATTTTGTTAGAACATAATTGAAAAGACAGAGCTCTTGATCATCAAGTCTAGTTAATTAGGATGCAGCCTGTGAGATGTGTGGACATTGACAATCTGTTGTTACATATGAAGATCAAAATATTTTCTGAAATCAGGCAGCAAACTTTTGGCATCCTCTCACATTTTTTACAGCTACTGATGATCTCTGCTTTCTATATCATGAATATGTATGTTAAATCAGAGCTAAATATATTGGAATATTTTGTTCATGAATGATTAGCTAAATTAAAACACAAAAATAATTCTTTTCATCTCTTTCCTGTCTAAAAATGCTTTTCACTGAATTAGAATTTCATTTCAGAATGTCAAAGCTCATAGCATACATGAAATTATTATCACTAAGTCAAAAATGTGAAAAATGGTTCAACTGTTTCTACAGGTACCAGTGGCTCTTCTTATAGAAATAAATAGTCTCTGAAATACTGGACAAGTTAATTTACACTGAGACATTATTATTTGTTGGTGCTTTTCTTGAAAACTTTTAATGGTTTTCCTGCTATGTCCTGAGAGATCCAGATTTTAGAAAAAAATATTTGCTGTAATAACAAACATTAGGCTAACCTGGCTGAAACGTGAGGGCTTATCAAGTTTTGTTTCTGTTTTTTTTGTTTTTAGCAGAAAATCATTATCTCAATTCTGGCATTCAAGAGATTTAGGTAAAATTAATTTGGAAAGTTTGGAGAGTTTTTATCTAAAATGTGGTGGGGTTTTTTTTGTTGTTTTTTGGGGTTTTTTTGAGACCTGTTGTTATTGCTAATGGTTAATTATTGGAGAAGACCTTATATTACAAATGATAGGTCCTGCAGTCCTGAATACAACAGGAAACAAAGAAACAGATAAAACATTAGCATCTTCCTGTGCTTGCTGCCTAGAGGTAAAACCTTAGGAAGGGAATCTCAGAAATCTGAGCATCAGAATATGATTCTTATGCTTTCCATGAAAAATGAAGTCCTACCTTTAAGATAAGCATTTGAAGAAGTGTTCCTTTGCTTCTACAGCTATGGAATCTCAGTCTCTTTGACTCTCTCAGTGTAACAGACACTAATTAAAGCCCAATGTTTCAAGTTGATGGGGTGCTCCTGTGCAGACCTATGAGAACAAAGTCTTTCCTGTGATATTGTACAATCTGCACAATACATCTGCATATGATGCCATTTAACAGCCCAGTATTACCATGCCTGAGCAATCACTTGCAGTTCCTGTAGTTGGTCTCAGGAGTTCATGAAGTTTTCTTCCTTCTCTTCCAAAAGAGTTGAATACATGCTAAGTCTCTCCATATGCAAGATTTAGAACTTTCTGTATTAAAAATGAGTGTAATTGCATTGCTAAAATAAGAAGGATTTTATGAAAAAAGAAAAGAGAAGGTTTTAATTTGAAATCAGGACCTCTCATTCTGAAGAAGAAAACATCAGTTTGTTTGCCTTACAAAAGAGTCCTTGAATGAAGTGTGTCTCAATGCCATACCATTTCTTTTACGGCTTTTTCCCATGCCCCAGGTACAACACAGTGGCCTGAATTAGCACACCTCTTAGCTCACAGGAGATACAATCTTCCCAGTGGTTGAAATCACAAACTAACCACAGGGCAGAGCACACAGCTGAGAGAGCAGCTTGTCACCAGGTCTTTCCATTATGTTAGGTATGGATATTCTCCAGCGCCCTTAGGACAGAGCATTACTAAAGCCAAAACAAGATACAAAGTTCTTGTTACTTAACTAGCATATCTGAAGTCATCCTGGTTCATATTAGCCAATCCAGGCACCCAGGAATGTACTTTGGCTTCAAAGAACAACAGCAATTAAACATTTACCAATTGCTTTTTCCTCATGTTTGCCATAATCTCTAGGATATTTGCATCAAGGAAAAAGAAATATTTAATTTTCTCAGCAAAAAAACTTTGTTAACATATTCAGAGAACATAAAACAAGACTGGAGTAAGCAGGAGCACTGTCCAAATACTGCTCAGACACTGTAAATCCAGCAAATACACCAGTTTGGGTTTCCATTGCTTATAATGCACTCTAATAAATGCAGGAATAATGTTTCCCCCCTCTACCCCCATGATGTAGAATTATATCTAATTTGTTTTGGCACTGAAATAACATGTTTTTTTCCTTGTGCTAAGATACATCTTTTTAAGTGTAGCCTCTGGTTTTATATTTGCCATGTCCAACTGTTTAAACATTTGCAGTCATTTCAGACATGGACATTTATTTTAAATACTTTCAGGAATATTTTTTTTATATTTATAGGGGGAATAAGCATTTTTCTATTAGTATAAACTCTAGTTTTTGTTTTCTTGCACCCAAAAACTATAAACATGATTTCTGTCTCTCTCTCTCAAAAACAGAAGACTTCATTTTCAGATTCTAGTCTGGGAAATGTCATCACAAAGGATATTTTTAAGGTATTAACCATGGAAAACAGGGAACTGGAACACATGGCATATGACACATTGCTTCTGTTATCATCCCTACTACATATTCTATTTTTAAATCTCCTTTTTAGTTAGATATGCAATTGTATATGGAAATCTCTTGCTGCGATTTCTAAAAATGGTGCTGCAGAACAGATGTGCAGAACAGTAGTAATCAGAATACTTTAGGTAAAATAGCCTATTTAACCTCTTTCATTTTGTATATTTAAATTTTCTAAAGTATTCTGCTGGGCTTTTACAAGTAATGGGATTATGAATTTCAACACTATGCATGCACATTTAATTTCCTGGGTTTGGTTTTTCTTTTTGTCCCCTTTCTGTCTCTTTTGTGAAAGTGGGCATATCCTGTGTTTAGATCTCCATTTTCACCCTCCCAGGAGAACTCTGTAAAAGCATTCTGTAATAAGGCTGAAGTGTACATCAGTAACAAAATGTCGTTTATGCAGTTCATGCTTCACGATATAAAAAGCTTGAGCCTAAGGCACAGAGACCTACTTTTGTTTTGGTACGGTTAATTATAAAACTTGTCAGCTGTAGCAGCACTGTGATGTCTGACAGTGAAATGAGCCACCATTGCTCCTACATTTTTGAAAATGTGTTTTGGTTATATAAATGGGGATAAATTAAAAACCAAATAACTTGTGTAACTGAAAAAAATGCTCTGCATCCTTCTGTGGAAAGACTTTGGTAAGTTGTATCTATCTGGAGAGGCAATGTAGTGTGACTGTATTTTGACACGTGTTTTGGTCCGTTACAAAGATAATAGGGATCCATTTTTATATTCAAGACAGTAAATATGATGTATGCACTTTAACACACATTACTGAAATTACAAAATGACAAAACATGAAGTTACAGAGTATAAATTAAACTGTGGCTCATAAAAAAAAAACAACATTCATTCATTGCCAACAAAACACTTTTCAAGAAACTGATTATTTCTTGTCTCACACCTAGAAAAAGCTTAGGAAAAACAGATGTGCCTTGCAGCTTTCTAGGATGGCAATCCAGTCTGGGCTCTAGCAAATAGAAATCTGAGGATGAGCACAACAGTGAAAACACATTGCTAGCAGCTGCCTTGGTGACATTTTTAAACCAAGAAGCCACCTTCCAGCTCAGACACCTCAGATAGATGCAACTGCCACAGTGTCACATGAAGAAAGGGAGACTCTATTGAACAAACCTTAAAGGCTTTCAACAAAAGGTCAGAAAGACCTTTTAAGTCAGAAGTCAGTTTGCAACATTTGCAGATCACTGTTCATGCTAGCTAATGTTACTTTCACTGCTCCTCCCTGATTTACCATTGCAAAATAACATTTCTCCAAAAGGCCAGTGAAGAAATGCAGATTTCCTTGTGAGTCTTATCCAGTTACTCCTCTCTTTTCACAGTAATTCAAACCTTCAGTGTGCTCTCAAGAGCATCACAATGTTGTGCAGTGCAAGAAGCAAAGGAAATTAGATCTGTCAAGATCACAAAAATAAGCTTGGGGGAGTAGGTTTATGGTTTATGTAGTGTGGAGGACAACATGCAAATAACATGACATATCTGATAATGACTTTCTAACATGTCTGATGATGACAAAGGACTCATGTGAAAGCAAGCGCCTACATACTTTTTCTTTGTGAAAATCAATCAGATGTTTTAATCTCTTGCATTATCATGCAGCCCCTTTTTGGTTCTGTGTCTTCAGAGGCATAACTGCTGCCATCTTTTGTTAGATTTTCTATTGACATCCCTGAACCTGCCCCCTCATACCATCACGGATTCTTCCAACTCCATTCAACCTCCATTCATGTGTCTCCTTCATTTTGCTCTTCAATTTCATAAATTATCATTATTTGTGATATCAGCCCAATTGTCTTCCTCCAGGTAGATGCGCAGTAGTGCATTACTGTAGCTTGAATGGCTTATGGTAAGAGTTTTCACTTAGGAAATTATGATGTTTTCAGGGCTGAGTTAATTCAAAGTTTGAATTAACTGAGTATGCTGTTCAGGTTTTAATATAAGAGAATTTGTTGAGATTTTCATAAGAGTTGCTTATTATGAATATTTCAGATTTTTCATGAAAAACCCATACAGTAAGAAGCAAATAAGCTTCTTACTGTAAGTCAAGGTTTTATTAGAATGTTTCCATTTCAAAACAGAATTATTGCATGAGTTTGGCTGCACTGTTTTAATGACAGGTGTGAAATGGCAGAAACCTGGTATGCTGAGTAACAGGCATCAGCACATCATGGGTTACCCAGCAATAGGCTGCCATGATCCTCAATACTAACTTCTGATTTATAAAGGTTTGCCAAGCTGCCAACACTCATTTAAGCCAAATTGAACTACAATTCATTTGGGGATTTTTATTATCATTATTTTTTCACTTATATTGCTTCCAATAATATATATATATATAGTTTGTACAGTTATTAATATGTTCATCCGTTAGGAGAGAAATACATTTGCTGTAAATATGGCAATCTCCCCCCAGCCCCCTGCCTTTCTGGTCCCATTTCTTTCTCATTACTCAGGGGAAAAACAAATTATCTGTGTGTTTAGAAAAAAAAATGTTTTAATTTAACTTGGAAAGAATATTGGGTATGCTATAGGAATCCATAGAGATTACCAAGGAACTGTGTGCGACTGTGCTTTCTATTTAGAGAAGATCTTTGCCTGTAACTAAAGGGAGAGATTAAAGAAGAGCATAATTAATGTTAGCATCTCCCATGCTAACACATACAATTGCAGTGCTCACACTGTGTGCTTGTCATTATGTAAAAGTGACCTTTACAGCTCACCCAGCGTGTTGGCTAACATTTTGCATATCACTGAGCTGCCTAGGAAACCATATTTTGCTATTATCACAGTCCCACAAAAACAGCTTGTGACAATGCATATGTACTCTTTTTTTTCTGCTGCTTTTTCTCCTTGGCTACCAGTTTTACAGAAGTCAGTCTGATATATTAATATGTATCTGTGGATTTTTTTAAGTGCCTTGCTACATGGGAGTCCTTCCTAGCATCTCAAACAGTGGATCATCATGGGGAAGAAGATTCTGAAGACAGGCCTTGAGTAATATCTCTGCTTGATCTCTACCTTTTCCGTGAAGTTTTTCTCAACCAAAGAAGTGCTTTATATGAGATCAGATACGTTATTAAATGCAACTGTTAAAATCAGTGAAACGCAGGAAACCAGCTTATTGAAAACTCAGGTATTCTACTCCTGAAATACATTTTGGAACATGCTATATATTGCTTTATATTGCTTAGTCATGATTTTACATATTTTTATGCAAGTGTTCACATACAATTTTTTTCATACATATTGCATAACTTGGATATAAAGTATTTTAAATATGTAAAATAAAGCTCAATTTTAATAAAAAGTTTAATAAGGAAAGTCTTCATTCTGCATTCTACTCTGTCAGAATTATTTTGGCACTGTAGCTTCCATATTATATTCTCTATACTGAGTAATTGCTTGTATTTGTAAAATTCTGTATCATGGATTTGAAGGAGCAGTTCAGGATTATTTTAATAGATCTAGTCACCTGATGGCAAAGTGGTATGGGAAGATGCTGTTCTGTGAGATTAATACTGCTTTAAAGTGCTGTTAATTCAGCTTACAGTTTGTATTATTTACAAGTCAATTAAGCATCTTTCATTTGATCTTTTTTAAAAGATAAGAAATTGACAGTTCATGAAGCAGACTGTATCTGCAGAGATATCATGTTAGTCAAAGCACTGATCCTGCCAACACCAATGAATAGCCTTTTACTCCCACAGCTGACCTTCCCACAGTGCTTAAGTTCCTTTTTCAGAGAGCTGGTATGGAAGTGAAAGGGAAAAGAAAGGAAAAGAGTTTTCTGCTAAACCGATTTGCTCCTGCAGTAATGCACTGAAACATTCTGAATGATTCCACCAAAGGTCTGACACACTGCACTTAGAACTGCTGTAGTGGTTCTTTTTCCTTGGCAGTTACAATGGGAGCGAGCCTAAGTCTGAACCTGGGGAGAATGAAGCGCAGAAATCAGACCCCACCTCACCACGGCTCTGGCTTTGGGAACCAGCAGGGCATCAGCCCTCACCTTCTTCTGGTGAGAATCTGTGATCCTGCTTGGGTCACTCAGCGAACGTCTACAGCTTCTCAGATCTCAGCTGCACCTGGGTGGCTGTGGACCTGCCCAGGCTGGATGTTGTAAGAAACAAATGATGAGCATGGCCTTTTAGGCAGAACAAGAAGACTGCTCTCATGCTGCCCTGTGAAGCTTTAATGAAAGTTTGACTCAATTTTCTGAGCTATAAAATAGCAGTTAAGATGCTTGTGAAATACTACAGGAAGCATGCTTTCTCCTAGCTTAGGAAGCATAAGGAGCTCATCATACAAACCAGGACTGGGTGCACAGGTCAGTGCTACAGGGCAGGGATGGTCAATACAGTGATGTGTCCTCCTTCCCTCTTTCCCCAAAATATCCTTGCTACTCTTTTTCTTTTACATCACAGTTTCTATCAATGTGTTTAAAACCCATAAACCTTTTTCATTTTTACTGCATCTAAACTTTTACGATTTAACATGCTGAGTATCACTGGATTCACATTTCAATTTGCAGGAAAAATCAAGTTATTATGTGATTTCTTAAACCAGCTACTCAGTAATTTCAGATCATGCCCTCTACATCTTAAACTGAGAGAAGAGCTGACAGTTGTTTCCTGTTTGACTTCCCCATGCCACAGACCTCTAGCATAACTTCCAAGCACTGCGCCTTTCCCAGAGGAACTGCCTTAGCCTGATACCATCTCATACAAAAGCCATTTCACATCCATGCTCATAGATGCTGCTTTTCTCTGTAATTTGTAGTTCTGCTGCAACCAGTCATCAAAATGCAGGCACACCAGACATGCACACATTGCCACAATTATACTTTGCATTCTTTCCTGTTTCAGATTTATTTTTTAAAGTACCACTGAATGCTGAGCTGCCATTTCATAACACTAAGAGCTATTCTGAAGGTTACTAAATAATTTAATTTCCATCAGTGTGTATATATAGGAGAATTGGCTTTTCCCCAGTGTGCATTAATTTGCATTTATTAATTCTGAATTTTGCTTGCTGTTTTTAGCTCCTAATTTCTCAGTAGTGTACAGTCCTATAAACAGGAATCCAACAGAACAGGCAGCAGTAACACTCTGAGTGCCAGAGAAAAGAACATTCAAGAAGGAGCCTCAACAGGCTTACCGGGAAGGACACAATCGTTTAAGCTTAACCAAAAATTAAGTAGCATACATGTAATTTAAGCTTCTCCGAGAAAGGGCAATGCCTGGTTGGTTGGGATAGGAATAGCAATGTGCTTTGCATTGATTTTTACCAGCATGTTCTGCCCAAGCAGAGAGCTGCTCTCTGAGGCACTTGGAGATCATAAGCAGCAGCAGATATTTCACATCCTTCCTGAAAACAGTGGGCTACAGTTCATTATGTCGAGGATTTACTTTTCATTCACGTTCTTCTTTAGCTAGGCCATAACTTATGGAGGAAAACCTTAGTAGTCATGTAGAGGTTTGAGTCTGAGTTGTTATTCTTCTGATTTTCTAGTAGCAGTATCAAGGAAAAATGAGGTCTATTATTAAGTACAATCAAACATTGTTCTTTTTGAGTTGTGCCAATACTTCCAATACTTACCATTTTAGAAAACATATTGTGTCTTTAGCCCTATTTCCAAAGATTTTTCTGTTATGGAGTTTCAGCTTCCTTAGGCTAATGCTTGAAAGTGTTTAAACTATTCTATCACTCAAAGTCAATCTGCTTATAGTTTGGATATTCTTTCTGCTGTTTTCAAGTAGCTGTGTGCAGACTGTTAGAGCCCTACCATTTAAGATGATTTCTGAAGTGCCAAGAGGCTGACTAAGAATTCAACTTTCAGCTGCTTACAGCCAAGAGCTTCATTCTGGACACCTCCTTTTCCTTCTGCAGATTTTCCCTCTGAAATTAATTAAACAGTGAAGAAGTGATTCTAAGTGTCTAAAGAAAGCAGTGCATAAACGATGCACTGTCAGCGTCTCTGTCTGTGGAGAGCCCCAAACAACAGCTCTGAGTGCTAGAAAGTTCCCCATCCAGTTCAGTGTGGCTTATTCTCAAATTCACATGAGATCGCTTTTTAAAAGCAGTGTCATTGTTTTATCATAAAAAAGAAAATTCAAAGTGTATCTGCAGTTTCCTAGCTAGGTAATCACTATCTAGAGGATATATAACCACCATAGCTTACAGGCTTCCTCTGGCAACTGCAGAGAATGGTTCCTAAGGACCTTCCACCGTGTCTCAAGACCTGTTAGAAGTGTTTGCCATGAGCAGTGAGCGCTGGCACGCAGAAGGACTGACAGGGAGGTGACTGCCCAGCAGCGTGCCAGCTGTGCAGTCCAGAGCCTCTCGCTGGGCCCAGCAGTTCAGTGATGCCTCGTCTGCCCAGTGCCAGGGACAGTGCATTGCCGCCCATCTCATTGCCATAAGATACTGGTCAGGCGCTTTTGAAGCACCTGTGACAGCACTCTCAACTTATGTACAGACACTTGGAAAGCACAGATCAAAATATTATTTAAAAGACTTTTTTTTAAGCTGCCTTTTTCTCAGAACTTGGTGTGCAAACCTCAGCTACTGGTAAGCCACAGCCTGGGTAACCAGCTTCCTCAGGCAGCACTGTGACTACATGGCCACGTTTAGCATCTGTGGTCTGTGGCTTGACCATAAAGAGGGAAAAATTCCAAGAGACAAGAAAAGGTCACTGCCTCTTTCTGTGTTACTGCTTCATAGCTACAGCCTGTAAACAATGCACTTCTCTTTTCTGCTGGACTGAAAACACATGCAAAGAAATGACCAAAAGTCTCCTCAGCGATGGAGCAGATGAGCTGTCACCAGCACACAGTGCCACTAAGAGAGGTACAGCAGAGTCTGCGGTGAGGCCTCAGTGGCTGCGGGCACCAAGAGGCTGGAGGTGGCTGCCTCGTGCTGACACTATCCCTGCTAGGGATGACAAGCTTGAAGTGATCTATGGGGAGTTGCCCAGCCAGAGGAAGAGGAAATGAATGTGGGCACTACAACAGAGCTGCTGACCCCTGCTGCTCTCAGGCTGCAGTTGAAGTAGAAACTTTTTAAAGTATTCAGGCTTTATATGTGGAAATTCTTTCACATGCCTGATTGCTATGGGCAGGATTTCACTGACAGACACTAAAATAAGATAGTGCTGGCACAAATCACTCATGAAACCAACCTTCCAGCAGCAGCTTTGCAGGCTAGGAGGAATATCAAGGAGATTTCTTTCAAATGCCCAACTCACACTATAATATGATTTATCAGCACTGCCTCCTGCATTGCACAACAATCCCCTGTAGCTTAATGAAGAATAGATGAGGGCAGAAGTGTATATAAGAGGATCCTCTGTCATGTTATTAAGATTACTCAAAGAAAAAGAAAATGGCTAAGTAAACCTTTCTGACAAATGGAAGAGCACCTACCTGGTACTTGGTAGGACTGACTGGTGACAAAAGGACCAAATTGTACAGTCTTAGTACAATCTGGACAGCGAAGCATACTTAAGGCGCTGCCCAGCTTTCAGGCTCCCACTGAGACCATCACAACTCATTGAGGGGCTTTTTGCTGCCTGTCCCCAGCCCTGCCAGCACTGCGATGTGAGGAAGGGCCCTGTCCCACAGCAGCATCTGCTGAACACGGAGTGCTTCATTAAAATGCTTCCTGACAGAGCCTGAGACTCTCAGGAAGTCAGGGATGACCACTCAGCTGCACTTCAAGGAGACAGCCACAGACTTCTTGGGCACTTGAGAGTTTTTGGAGACCTGGAAAGTGAAACTGCATCCTGGTTTAGGTAAAGATGCATGGCTAAGGAAATGCAGAACTCCAAAAGAATGTCTTTGTTTAAAATATAACAGGAGTAATGATGAAAAGAATGATGTCAATTTTCCTACAGGCGAAAATACATACTTCTAACATTTTTTATCTAGACTGTGACACAACACTGGGTTTTCAGCAGGACTAATTCCTTTAATAATTGTATTGCTTACAAGGTTAGTTAAGAATTGAGTATTATTATGTCTGCATTAATAATCAAGAGTTGCAAGTAAGCCATTAGCTGTCAGATCCAAACCAGGATGAATTGGTTCCTTCCTTTTAATCATGGCAACATTGATACCATGTGATGGGGAGGATTCACTGGTCCTCAAGTAATAAATCAACTTAAAGGGCAACTGAACTGCCTTTTGAATTGACAACAAGAATAAATGCTTGCAAAATTTTATAACAGGATATTATTTCATCCTTAAAATTAATGTAAAGTAAATCTTC